TTATGCAATGCAGTAACTTCTACTTCAAATGAGCATCTACAGTCACAGCAGACTATAATTAAATCCTTGTCATAACGGATTTTTAAATTTTTTGCTTCACATTCACATTAAAATAATATAAAAACATAAAAATACATTGTGGCAAGATCAGTAAATCTTGCCACAACAGGTTTTAAATAAATCTTCATTCATCTGCTGTGACAAGGTTTGACTGTATTTAGTGAAGCTGGAAACACAATGACAGCTGAATGAATAAAATTGAATCTGTTGTTATTGTATTTCTTAAAAAAAAAATATGCAATGTATTGAAAATATTTTTCCTGAGGAATAAATAATTATTATAAATCAATGAATATTTGGCAGGTATTCAGTGAATGACCAATTATCTGGGTGTTGGGTTGTATTGACTGACCAATTATCCAGATAATCAATGGATACAATCACTAGTTTTTTAACATTTTTTTTATTTATTCACATAATGTCAAAGTTAGCATCATGGTTAGAATGCTACATTGCAATTAAAGTGTGATATCATGGTTAGAATACTAGATTGCAATGAAGTTGCTACTAATTAATTTAATTGTATATAAGAAGGTCAAATTTGACATACTTGTAAAAATACTTTGTAATAACTTTGTAAAAAAGTTTTATAATAAAAATTAACTTGGAAATAAGTTAATAAATTAGTTTCAACTAAATAAAACATTTTCTTAAATCACTAAACCAAAATTATTTGTTATTAAAACTAATTCATTATAATATCCAATTCATTCTGATCCACACAATCATAAATTTATACTGCTCACAAATAATAATTGATGACACTATGAATAATTACAAATATCCAAAATTATTTTATTACAAAATTTTAAAACAATATTCAAAATAATTATGAATATTTGAAATATTTTAAAACAAACAATAATATCATAATATCATAAATATCACCATATATTTTTTATAAAATTTTGCTATCTCATATGGGGCATGCTGCAACAAAACCAGACAAAGTGAACATTGGTATTACCAAAGATTTCAGGGGTCAAGATTTAGTAATGTGATTATTATTAAAATCTTCCATTTGGGGGCAGGA